GACAACGACGAAACACCGGCGCGAAAGAGGTACAAAAGTGGACAGATTATTTATTATTTAAGCGCGAAATTTATCGGAGAAACTGACTTTGCCTCTGAACGTGTAAATCGTGTTAAGTTCGATCGTTTCTTAAAGAGTCCCCGCGCGACACGAGATCGTTGCATACAAAAATACAGCGCTTGAATTCTTTACGTACACAAAGATATTATTTATTGTAAAAAAAAAAATAACTCGTGCGGAAATAGCGCAATTTGCGAACAGAAATTGATTTGTTGATACAATTTTTGAGATGTGTGTGTGTGTTTTTAATGTTTTATTCTGTCAAACTGTAGTTGAACTACGAATTAAAGACGAATGATTGATTTGTGAATATCTAAATTGCAAATGGTGAAATGTGTCTGAAGCATGTACATTATCACGGTAAATTCTCTGTCTGTGTCACAATTAAAAGGTTACAGATGAACGTTGCGCGAAATGACACGAGGAACTTCACACGCATTTAGACAAATAATGACCAAATTTATTGTCCCCGGACTGGAAATCGATGAGGCCACGACTGCGTTGCGGAAGTACGGAGATTATTTATTGCCCGTGAGATAGCCCCGCGTCTGAAAAGCATTGGCAGTTTTTTAGTCTTATCGACGTCGGCCGTATTAAAGCCGGAGAACAAAGAAGAATGACGGAGTGTTTATAAATTTATCGGCAGTGACAGCGAGGAAATAGTTCGACGCGCAATTTATAAGAATGCTAAAGCATGCACCTTATTTATCATCAAAGCGTGCGACAAAGCCGCCACGTGCGCTTAATGATTTTGATATTATTAAAATCAATAACGCCGATGAATCGAGAAATTGTCACAAAATACAACATAAGCACGAAAGAGCGTAAAAAAAATTCTGTGTCAATTTTCATAACTTTAAATTCCAATATTTTGCGGTAACGTATTTACTGTATAAATAAAAATATTCCAATTAATAAAAAAAGCCTGGTATATGTGTGTGCGTGTGCGCATATGATGATTGATTTTAGTTTTCATTTGGCTGATTTTGCTTCGACAAAAAAATATATCCTTTGAATTACGGTAATAGCACTGACAATGGATTTTGATGGCGATTCGTTAAAAATTTTATGCACGTGTGTGACACTTGTTGTTCTCATTTTGGCGCGTTCTGTCGCCGCGATAAGTACGTTATTCATCCGTTAGCGAGCATTCGCTGAGCTTTACGATGCGGTGCAGTGTTTTACGGTCAGCATCAGCAGCAAACGGAAAATCACGATTTGTCATTTTCAGTTTGCTTTATGGTCCAGCACTACCAATCGTCGCATGATTTGCCAGCGCAATTCGCGATCAATCGTTAAAGTACGAGTATTCCTCCTTGCTCGCAAATCGTAAAATACGTCGCAATAAAGATATCGGACAGTCCATGTTAAATGTTTATGCGCAGATGCCTTTTCGCATGTCAGGAGACATAAAATTTCTTATATGAGACATTTTACCACGAAAGAGGATATTAATACATGCAATTTTTTACCGCTATCACATCATTAAGAGACTATTAAAATGAGAATGTCAAAAGTTAATTAATTATGCATCGCGTTTGAAAGTAGTATTTCTGGAAAGTATATCTTCTAAAATCAAGATGTTATGACTTCATGTGTCGTTATCGAATAAGGCGTTAAATAAAATAAAAATTATTTCAAGAATTATTAAATTGAAATTATTAAATGAAATGTATTAGATTTTATAAGCTCTAATGGAGCTTCTTTAAGTTTGGCAGATTTCTGCGCAATAACATATCAAATTACGTTGATTCTTATTAATTCTGTGCGTCAGGGAGTGATTTCGAGCGACAGAATGAATCAACGTGACTCTCTGCGCTCTCTGATCGTGAGTAGTTCTTTGCGCGCGGATCTCGAGGGGCTGGAAACTGTCACGGACGTGGCGAAGTGTCGAGGCCGGGTCATAAGTAAAATGAATTTAACATTTGGCGTTTATATGCGGCCTGCAAACTGCGCGTCGTGGGAACGAGCTCGACAAACTCGAACGTCCTGAATTAGGCGTGACGCCTTGCGGTATACGCCTAATATCTGCTGTACAAACGCTCGCGCATCCACGGCTTCTAATATATATATACACACATTACGGGACGGTGTGAATCAGTTGCCGCGGCGTCAAAATTTATCGCTTACGTAATGGAGAGAGGCGGAATCACCGAGAGAGAGATTGCGCGCCGGCCTGCATCCTGCCAAACTTTATCGGCGTTTTATATCAATGAGAATTTGATAGTTGAACGTGCAAAAATTACGACAGCTTGTACGAACCGGAAACTTGGAATTATTCACATGTTGGCAGACCGCCAGCTTCAAATTTGAGATTAAGTAGATGTTAGGGAACTTATGCAGCCGGAATTAAACGAGGATTTTGCATAGAACTTTGATAATTGATAATTTGATAATTGATGGGAGAACTTACGGGCGATTAAATCACGAGAAAGAAGCAAAGACGAATATCCTCCTCTCTCCGACGAGATTCTCTGATGTGTAATTTTCCTCGCAGCGGAAACGTCCGAGTGCAAATTTCGCGATTGTTATCGTGAAGTACGTTACAGGAAAGACCACTGAGGATAATTATCTTGTAACACACGAGATTGGAAAAAGTAAGTATATTGTACGTACCGCGAATTGCTCGTTTTAGAAATAGGTAACGGCAATTTATCTAGCCGCGCCGCGAATAATTATCATTGACAATGCACGTTGAAGTATATCCGCGACACAATCTACGAGAGAGGGAGAGATAGAGTGTCGAGATCGTTCCATTAACGATGGTCGCCACGGGTTATCCGCAATTCAGATATAATTGAATAGAGCTAGTTTAACAAAATTTCATCCTCGAAATCCGCATTACAAAATTACATCTAAAGGTTATATGAACATTTCGCGTCCATATAAAATTAAATGACACACATGCTGGGCAAACTAATTTCTTTAGTCATCTCTTAATTATGTCTCATACAAGAATTAAACGAATTATTTTTATCTTTCAGTTTTTTTTAATATTAAAACATTAATGCGTCGAATTTTGCTTGGATTAAATCGTTTCTCTAGGAAATGTTAAATGTAATTGACAGTGAAATGATAAATGCGGTTTATGGACTGTTAAGAAATTTATGCGACAAAGTAATTACGATCGCGCGAGCAGAGGTAACCACGTGCTTTCTGATATTGTAGAATTGATGCCGTCGGTGTTCGACGCATGGAAATAGCGTTTCCATAATAGTGCGAGGAAATCGCTCCATTAATGGTGATCACCTCAAGTTACCCGCAATTTGGAAATAATTGAACAGGGCAAGATCGAATCCGACGATTTAAGCCGTGCGCCATCGACATATTTCCGCACGTTAATCGACATCTCGGATGCAACTGCACAATTCACTGCGTGCATAAAATAGTGTAATAGTGTAGTACAAGTGCTCTCGATCGATTTTGTGCAACAAATTATCTAAAATTGATTATGCTTTTGTCGAAGCGCATTGAGGTAAAGATCGGTGATATCGGCTGTTCGCAAAATGACATTCTCCTCCTGCCTCGGCGGACCTACCACGGAAAATGCCTCGAAAGAAAAGCTCGAAAAGCTTCAAAAATTTTCAATGCAAATGAAAAGCGGTGCGAAACGTTGAAAACACGACAGGATGCGATTCTCGTGACGAACGTTCTCTTCTGGAGTGCTGGGTATCCCTGATCCTATCTTACTTCGTCTCTTTCCTCACGCGGCACTCGATCTAACTCACACATTACAGAAAAACGGTGCGTGTGATACGTGTGTCGTACGTGTATAACATGTAATGCTATATATCATATATATATATATGCCTATATTTATGTATATAGATCCGAGCTGAAGCTACGAAGCGTGAGAACGGCTATCTATGGAGCATCGCTATTGTGTGTTGCACTCGTGAGTCTTGTGTCGGACAGAAGAAGCCGCGAGATGCCCGTCACGGGCGCGGGATGGGGTTTTTTCTGGTCACGGCTGGGACGAGGTGGGAGGCAGGTCGAGTCTCTCAGAGCAGCGAGGGATCCCTGATGGCGAGCGGACAACGAAAGTGGCTCCATTTGCGACATCGATAGAGAGCCCGAGGATCCCCGCGAGGATCCCCGTTTCGCACGCCGTGGGGCACGACGAGATGCAGATGGGATAATTCTCGGTAGTTTTCTGCATGGAAATTCAGCCGCGAGCTCGTTAAGCGAGAACGAGACGCGCACCCGTAATTGGTAATTGGACGGTAATTAAGCGGCGCGATTGAAGCACGTTTTTATCGCCGCGATTTCGATGACGAACTAATTACTTATTAATTTCAAGATATGTATCGTATTAGAAAACTATACAAAAAAATCATATAAATATACACATATTTTTAAATATATAGTTAACTTTAATTACAACCGCCGTATCTAATAGATTTAAGCGGTGCATGCAGAGTTAATAATAAGAAATTAAATTGAGAAAGCAATTCATAAATTTTTATTAATTTTTGAAGAGCTTTATTCTTTGCACTAGCTGAAATATATCACAAATGATAGTAAAACAAAAAATCAATAATTTTTCCAGTAAAGAAATAAATGCAAATTGACTTGTACGAATTCTAAATATTCGGAAAATCTGCACTGATAAATAATCAGAAATTTTTGAAGATTTTATATCATATTGATATCATCATGTATTGCATAGTAAATGAAAATTTTACGGCAGATTTTCCGAAGATCGTGATCGTGAAAATAAAAACTTTCCCTTTGTCGCACCGCACGGCGGTCACATCGGCCGCACTTGGGACAGCCACGTTTCGCGGCCCCTCGCCTTCTTTCACTCCCCCACTTCCGGTTTACCCGAGTAAAAGCGCGTGTAGCTCATTCGGAAGAATTTAAGGGATCGATAATAATCTTGGTGCTCTCGGTGTGTATTGAGCGTGTGTCGGTGTGTAAGTGGAGACAGTAGTGTGTACCTGGTTGCCGTCGTAGGTCCAGGATCCGAACTTCATGTCACAGTGTTGGTCGTCAAAGGGGAACCAAGTGATGTCTATCTTGCATGTGCTCTTGAAGATGCCCGGAGGGACGTACAGGCAACTGCCGTTATGCGTGACCACCACGTTTGTTTGGTACGTCCCGTCGAAACCCTCATCCGCACTAACGTTTCATATCATACTTCCATTAATTACTCTCGTCAGTCGTCAATTGTGATCGTTTCGCGGCCGGTTTAATAGCGCGTCTGTTTAATCACCGCGTGATGGAGCGGGGACGTGTCGTCGGTTTCTTGTCGCTGACGGCAAGATCTCGCACGAGGGATATATTGACAAACGGAGAACGCGAATGCCATGTCGCGCCTGTGTCGGAAGTAAGGAGATGGATGGGATACTTGAAGCATGGGAATTTCTCCGTTCCAATTACATTTACTTGCGACACACTGTAATATCCATTAGAGACCCGTTATCTCGTACGAAAAAAAATTGAGCGGATTCAAGATTAAGCGCAATTAGACATGTTCGAGATTACCGATCTTTATTGTCTCACTTTACGAACCCTCTGTATCTCCTCGCACGTTACAACTTACACTTCCGTCATTTATCTGAATCATAACATCCGGCTGTATCTCTCATGCAACATCTTGAACGGATAATAAGATGAGAATCACGAAGGTGAAGGAGAACGATAAAACGGGGCACTCGCGAATGTTATTCATGAAAATGCAAACCGTTTAGGACCGCTTTTATGAGAGGATCGTTAAGCGCGACCTGGAACTGTGCGATGAAAAAGGGGAAAGGATAGAAAAAAAGGGGAAGAGAAAGAGGATGAGAAAGAAGTGTTGTGAGCCAGTTCGTGTTAATCCCTTAAGAATAATTCGAAGCGGCCACTTAAACAGCGTTAAAGGATAAAGGTGGATTGTTTGTGTCGGTCCCAGGGGCCTGCACGCGCGAATTTTTGTGGCATATTTATTTACCGAAGCGGCTTATTAAATTTTCGAGCGTCGCATGGTAAGAACGGCAGGCGCGAGGGCGCGCGAAAGGATATTCCTATTCCTCTGGGGAAACGTGCTAATAAATGGCTGGGGTATCCTTTATGCTGTCACGCAAACTACACGCCCGGCGAAGGTAAATCGAATATTTAGACGACCTGCGAGACAACCTGTGGCAATTGATGCTACGTGCTCGCGTGAAAATTTTCGCGAGAGCAACGTCGGTGTGGCATCGACGTTAATGTTCCCTCGTAGCTCGCTACGAGAACGCGGCATCGGCATTGTCGAAGGTTTCGAGGATGTCATTCCGTGCCAATCGAAAATCGATGCTGGCAGTATCGTTAAAGCTCCTTGCGCTTCTTGCTACTTTTACACGTTATCGCAGAATGGAGAACGAAGGGGGATAAGACAGGACGCGCGGGTGGGTGACGGGTAAAAAGGAGAGGCGCTTCGGCGATTCTCCCGTCGGAGAATGAAGTTAATTAATTTCAGCGGAGAATTGAATTTTCAGCGCCATTGTATTAATCGTTATCTTGCGTCTCTTCGTACGTGATCTTGCCGCGATCGTCCGTTTATTCGCGATGAGATATTAAATGCGGTCGCGGGGTCGGTTTTGTGTGTTTTGCCATTTGTCCCAGATCGCGGAGTCTGAGCGACGTTTCTCTTTTTCGATGTCGATTAACGCTTTAATCGAATTCGCGCGCGCGCGCGCGGGCGCGCTACCCGATATCAGGGAAAATAGGCTTTATGAGATCGATCGGTTTTTCAAACCGATCGAACGCTCCCTCTAATGCACGTTTATTCCGGCGCGTTATGGATAGCGGCATTGTCGTCGTTGTTGTGTGGCTAATGAAGACTAACGAGAAACGGGATTTCGCCTAAAAAGTGTGTTCGGCTAATTAATCTCGTTCGTGCGCGACGGAACGAAACCGTGTTGCAGCGAGTATTGGGCATTGGATTTTGTCGATCGTTGTTCCTCTCTTACAGGGGTATTGCGCGATACGCGGGACAGAACTCCACTACAGACCTTTATTCCGATGATATGTTGTTATGTGAAATGCATGTTAATTAGCAATAAAGAAAATATTGCACAGCAATTTATTAACGGTACCGTGAGAAATCGCGCACGTGGGCATCGGATATTATCGGGTGACCTGGTCAATAGAACCCGTGATAACGACGCATAGAATTTAATGATCGAATTGTAAGGGGAGGGGGGAGGAGGCTAATTAACGACATCAAGGGACGCATTAATATATGGGTTAATGGCGGTCTTTTGACACGGATTATCGCGGAAGTGACAGATCGTTTCCGGCATATCGCTGACAGGGAATGTCAATTACATCGAGTTGCGACAACACGACCTCGATTTATCTCCGATATGATTTTGTAGAATTTTCTTGAACGATAAAAGTCTTCGTTCCCTGAGAGGACGATGTACACGCGCTGCTTTGCCGAATGGAAAATTCCAATGAAGTACGGCAAGTAACGCGTGTCGGTTCGCTTCCATTATCACTGGCTGAGTAATACATTGTATCAGGAAAGTTTGCAACACTCTTGATATAACTTAAATGTAATCCCGTGTAATGGAAGTTACAATTTAGCTTGACATTGCATTGCACTCGATACCGCGCCATCATAAACTTCCCGCAAACTTGCGAAAGTTTTCGTTAATACCCCTCGACCCTATGACAACGCGGTGGCCGCAAAAGTTTCCGCTCGAAGAGAAATCAAGTACCTGAATGCCTAACGATTGCCCGACGTTAAGTACTTAGCCCCGGGATGGCTCATAGGACGGTTAAGAATGTAAAGGAAGTTCCGCCGCATGCCGTAAACTGTCGTTACGCGAAATCTTTTTAACGTTGTTGTTGGCATGTGTTGCTTAGCAGGGTGTGAAACGAAGCGGAAGGACATTCAACGCGAGTTGAAAGTGCACCACGGTATTCTGTAACGTTGCAAGTTCGCGTAAAACCGAGTTTCTGCAGTTAGCAGAGTTTAGCGGATAAATCGCAGTAACTCTAACTTGTTCGAAAAACATATCACATTGATCTGGTACGTGTTTTTGATTAGCAGAAACGCGATATCGCGACAACAAGTCGAGATAAGCTAGGGAGTAAAAAAAAAGAAAGAACACTTAGATTTAAATATTGTCCTCCCGCGGCGGCGCAACATAGTAAATGAGGATTTTATTGCCGTTTGAGATAATCGGTGCACAAGATAATCGGGATGCACATATCTTGGCGCGTTTTATCTGGAGCTTAGCGTCATCCGAAAAGCCGAATAGAAGAATGGAACAGAAGAGAGGTGCGCGAAGGAGAGAAATGAAGAGATGGTCAACTCTGTCTCACCACGCCACGCGCGATGTTACGGACGGACGGTAACTTGCGAGAGAGGCTTATGTACTTTATTCGGTTCTCTAAGCAAGCACCTCTCTGCCGGGGTAACGGGCAGAATGTTTGTACGAAAAGTCCGATCTTGAACGCTTCAATTTCCGAATGGAAAGAACGTTTGTGTAAATTGGACCTTCGAAATAACAATAGTGGAGGTGAACTGCGCAGGGCGTACAAGAACCGTCGAATGACGCTTCAACCGCAGGGCTACTAGAGGACAGAAGCTAAGAAAAATAGTGGTTCTAATGGGGATTTAAATTTACGCTTTTGGTGAATTAAGGCTCGAGAGAGTAAAAAGACAAAACCCTGCTTTTCAAAGCTTTAATTAAAAGCTCACAGAAATTTAAGTTAATTTTTTTTAGTACCGAAGCGGAATCTAATTAATCCTGAAATTGCTGTTTTTATGTTACGTTAAAAGAAATAGTTTAATTAATTATCAAATTAACTTTACAAATCGTGACTTTATGTTTTTGATTTATACGCAATTCTCTTACCAGGGTTTAATTAAAAGATTAATTGTCAATATGATTAATGTTAAAGATAGGAAATTAAAGTCTCGAAATATTGACTGAAAAAAATCTTCAATTTCATAAAATGTGTATGAATAAAATGATAGTTTTTTGGGTCACGTGTAAAATAAATTTACGTACTCACGCGACGTATATTCGCGTTTATATATTCATACGTTAACGCCGGAAACGATTACATCTCGAACGTGATTGACTGGCGATAATCAAAGCGCGCGAACGAGTAAATAAAATAGCAATTGACGTGGAACAGTGGAGCGGAAGGATATTCGGCGATGGGCCTCGAGAATGAAACACGGCCCGGCGGGATTAAAGGACAATGTTTATCGAGCCGTTCCCGCTTCCTCTTCCTTTCGCGGGCTCCTATCCTCCAGTTGCGCAAACGTGCATCAAAGTCCACGCGCTGTCGCGTTCATGAATTCGGAGGGGCGTTTTCGTCGATTGTTCCACATCGAACAAAGGCGGATCCCACTGCGGTGCCTATTGTCGGATTTTCGGGATAAATTCTGTTCTCGAGGAGGATCACTGACCCACCCTCCCTTCGGTGTCTCTATATTTCGCCTTGCACTGTGTGTACGCCTCATTCCCTCTTCGCTCGTCCGCGAGTTCTCGCTCACGTCGCTCTCATGGGTCGCGATATTCATGAGAGGGCGAGGCAGCTCCGGTGTTGCGAGCAACAAGTAAGTCGCGCGCCCTGGATAGTAGGCAGCCACCCTCCTTTTGTTCCGCGAGAAACGAGCGTCCCGCCCCCCCTCTTCACTGCGCCGGAATGCCGGGTGTATCTTTAAACAATATCGGCGGAATGGAGGTACTTAAAACCGATTCACGGTAATCCACGGTGAGCGAGATCGGCCAAGTCGCGAAAAAAGTGGAGCGATAATTATCAGAGGCAATTAAGAACTTGCCGCACAAGAGAAAACTCTCCCGGCATGCAGCTACCCCCGAGAGAAGAGACTCTCTATGACACACTCCATAGACGATGATAAACCTCAGTAAATTTCGCTAGCGGAACGGTACGTAAAATTGTTTCTAAAAACGGCACGGTATCGAGATGTGCAATTCATTAAAAATCGAAATCTGTGTATTATTATTTATACGTTTCAACGAAATCGTTCTTAGGCGAAACAGCGGAAAGAAAAGTACATTTAGAACTGAATAATCTTAAATTCTGTATAAATTAAGAGAATATCAATGATTTTGCAGAGAATGTGATAATGGTTAATACTGGAAACTAGAAATTTTGTATTGTTTAACGAT